TAGAATCATTAATTTCTTATTAAGAATATTTGGTTTACTAATTTTCTTTAGTTCGTTTATCTGGCCAATATTTAAAAATTTTAACTATTATGACTTTTTTCTAAATACAAATTTAAAACAAATAACAAATAAAATATTAGATTAGACAAAAATAGTAGAGAATAAAATTAAAGTAAATTTATTAGAAAAATTGTGACCAGGCGCATCCACCATTAATACTGTCGACCAAAACTTAAATTTTGCTTCAGTTTAAGAATAATTTAATAATCAAACATGTTAATAGTTAACCAATGCACGTTTCGGATAGGGATTGAATGGGTGACTATTAACTAACAAGGACAAAATGAAAATTAAAAAAAAACGTAATGTAAAATAAATGAAAAGATGACGAGTATTAAATTTAATTATATTTTTATAAAGACAAAAAATATTACAATAAACTATATATGTATAATAAAAGTACGTCGACTTACGCTAAATAAAAACTATACAATAATCATTTCATTATTTTCACTTAAATATAAACAACATGTTCTTGCTTCATATGTTTCTTGTTTTGTTTTGTTTGTTTGTTTATTACAGAAAAATAGGGACAAACACAATGAAAAATTAATAAAAAAAAACAATAGAACAAGAATATAAAACAAAACATACACTAATTGGCCTACGTAACTAAAGGTAGGTTCAGTGTTTGTGTGTATGTTTATGTCTCCACTTAATAAAAAAAAATACGCACTATATACAAAGACTTCCTCACAACCGAGGAATAATAATAATAGTAATAATAATAACTAAAAAAAAAAGAATCTTATACAAGTATTAACAATTTTCTTCAATATCACCAAAAAAAAATATAATAATAATATATAATAATAAAAATACATACATAAATTGTGTGTGTCGAATTTTATTTTATTTTTTGTGAACAAAGAGACGGAAAATCTTCATATTTTTCTTTCTCTATACATATATATAATAATAATTCAACAACAACAACAAAAAATTGAAGAAGTACAGTTAGTGTGTGGTTTTTTTTCTTTTCTTCTTTTTCACGACGACAGATCGGAGGTGTTGTAAATATACACACGGATAAAACAACAAACGAAAACGCATTATTTTTGTACAAGAAACCAAAAAAAAAACATGCAACAACCCTTAACTACATCAATTTACTTTAGTTTAATTTACAATAATAATAATAATAATATTAATTAATTAATCAATATGTTTTTTTTGTTATAATATATACTTTGTTTTATATCTTTTTTTACTTCTTCATACAATTATCACATGTTCAATTTGTAGGTTTCTTAGGTTTATTTACTTTTAAATATCTGCCTCCTCTTCCTTTCATCATTATATAATAATTTTCACCAATTTTTGTTTTTTTTTCTTCTTGGACGCAAAAGAGTTGTTCGTAGTGTAAAAAAATCTAGTCGCTTTAAAAAATATCATCAGTTGTATAACTTTTGTTTGTCATTTTTGTTTTGTTTGTTGTGCGCACCAATCTATATATATATATAATACACTTATTAAAAGTTATTACATGTATGTATACTATATATGTAATGTATATTTACTCCACTGAGTTTTTAACCTGGGTTAGTTTCCTTATCAAGATTTAAATTTACATAATATTTATATATACTTAATTCATCATTATCAATTAACGTTTCTCTTTTTTTTTGCGTTTTTCCTCTTCTCAATCATCTTTATATACATATATATAGAAATCTGTATATCATCATAATAAATATATTACTTTCGTCCTGAACTGTTGCACTTTTGTTTTTTTTTTGTTTGAGTTAGAGAGTTTCACTTAATTTGTATCAATTGTTTTTGTTTTTCCCAAAAGAAGACACATAATTTGCTTCGCTTTTTTTTAAAGTTTGTTTCATCTTTTGTTTCTCCGCTCTTCTTCGTCGATCAAGGTACAAACGTTTACAAAAAAAAAATAATCTCAAGCGATCAATTCAAATTCCAATCACGTAACTTAATAAAAGAAAACGAATATTTAAAACAAAAAAAAAATTATATAAATCACAGAACGTTACAACAGCTTGCTTTTCTTTTCGATAATAATAATTTAAAAAAAAAATAAAATAAATTTTCTTCGCTTGAATTCGCTTTTATTTCTATATATATATTATTATTATTACTATTTAGTTTCCTTTTATAAACAAAAAAAAAATCATATATAAACAATCTCTAACCGAGTTTACAAATAATAAAGGGAAAACTTTATACACATAAATAATTTAGAGCAAAAAAAAAAAATTACAACGAATTGAAAAAAAACGTACTAAAAATTAAACAAGGAGTGTTAATTAAATAAATACTATACAGAATGTACACTAATTAAGACTTAAATTAATTATAAGAACAAAAAAGAAATATCATTAAAGTAATTTCACTTAGAATATATATATATAAAAAAATCGGTTAATTTATATGTATGTATATAAAAAAAAACAAAATAGTAACGGGAGGCGTCTTGTACTTAAGTACAAATTAATTAATTAAAGTATTGCAAAAATTACACAAAGTATTTACACAAAAAAAAAAAATGGATTATTACAAATGCATTTCGTTTAAAAAAATTAATTAATTAGTTAATTATGATTTTTTCTTAAGAAGTCGCTTCGTTTTCTTTACATATTTTCTTCCATTTAAATTTACTTTGTAGAGCAGTGTACATCTGAGATCATTTCGCTAATGACATAACAATTACAATAATAACTTCATCTTCAACTGTTTTGACTGTCGTTCTTTTGTTTCGACAGCGCGCCTACTTGCACGAAGATAGAGAGAGTTATTATATATATATATACTTTTCTTTCACATTTATATATTATATTGACGATAAATATTCTATTCGTCTCTTTCCAAATAGATTTTCTCACTTACATAATTATATATATATTTTGCTACTCCGAAACAGGAAAAACAATTTTTTAAAAAAAGTATACGAAGAACGAAAACTGTTTTTAAACTTTCTGCTTCTCATCGTTCAAATTTTCATATTTTTTTTTTGCAACTTTTCATTATTTTTTTCTTTCCGTCCGTCCAGGCACCTCTCGCAGTCTCATTTCCAAAAATGTTTCCTTTCAAATCCTTCTTCAATCATCTTATTCGGACTCTCCTCCTCGTCCTCTTTCGTGAAAAACTTCTTCACTTCACTCCTTCTTCACGTGTAGAATAGAACAGAGGAGGTAGAGCGCCGAACAGCACCAGACTTTTCTCTTTCTCGTGTAAAAAATCTACATCCAAAATACCATGTCTCTCTTATCACAAAAAAACTTTTTCCATCCCGATCCACTACTTTCTTCGCTTCCTCCTCTTCCACTTCAGATATAATAAAAAACACATTTATAATAATAGATGTAATATATATATAATATAATATTTATCAACAAATAGGTATATTTCTTCATCTCTCGCTTCACTACCTTAACATTTAATGGTTCCTTCATTTCATATTTACAAAAAACGTTTGTATTCATTTATTCAATTGATTTAGAAAGAAAAATTATAAAAACATTGTCTGTGTTGTATTCGGAGTACGAAACGAAATAATAATGAACAAACAAAAAAAATAATAGAGAAACAGTTTTACGTAATTAATATCATCGTCGAAACATTTGCGATTTGTTTAAAGAGAGAAACGAAAAGATACAAATAATAAACAGAAAATCAAAAAAAAACCACAACCAAAAATTTATTTAATAGAAGAAAACGAGTCGCACTTCTTTTTTTTTTCCATTCTTCTTCACCACGTTCATCCAGAGCGGGGAATTTTACTTTTACTTTCCGCACTTTACCAAAAAAAAACAATAATAATAATAAACCGGGGTGGTCGATCTTTAATGCCGTTTGCATTGAAGGAAAGAACCACCGCCCATCGATCAATCATCACAACCACTAACCTCTCTGAGATCTCTTCCCGTTCTAATTCGTTGTAAACCGAGGATTTTCCATCCACGTTTCTTTCTTCTCTCTATATATGTTTCTTCTGGTGCCGAAGGCGGCGCCGCGCGCGCGAACTGCAGAAAATGAATTACGGTTGTTTTGTTCTTCTCCGCTTTCCCCCATCATCCGGATTTGGGAAACGGACAAATATGCGTCTCTTATATATTTTGTGTATATATATAAAAAAAAAGAGTTAGTTGTACTATCGAGACAGTGCTTCATTACAAAATCACTGAGATGATGATGATCCTTGCTTCTTCATTTGCTTTTTTTTGTTTGTTTGTTTGTGGTGTCTGCGTATGTATGTATGTGATTGTGTGTGCGGCGCGAGGGTCGTGTTTGGTTGGGATTTATCGTCCACCTCACGCTCCGGTGCAGTCGATCTCGATGATGTCCTTCGGGACGTCGACGAACTGATAGACGAGCCTCTGGCCGTCCACCTTGGCGAGGATTCCTCGCTGGTAGTAGTACCTGAGGGCACGGCCCATCGTCTCGTAGTTCATGTCCGGCTTGTTCTTGTGCAGACCCCAGAGCCGCGACACCGCCTTCGAGTCGACGAGCTTGAAGACGCCCTTCTCCCGGTTCGTCCACTTGATGTACCTGGGACAGTACTCCCTATCTTGGAGCAGCTTGAGCAAAAATTCCCAAAGGTAGGTCGTCGATCCTTCGCGGCTCTTCCTCTTCACCGAACCGGGTTCTCCAGCCCTCGGCTTCTTCACCTTCTTCAGCTTGCGCGGCGTGAAGCCCAGCTCCAGCATGTACGACAGTTCGTCGTTCACGCTCGACGTCGCCGCCTGGATCACCGACGTCGGGATGGCGTGACCCCTCGGCGGAGATGGCGCAGACGGCGTCGCGAACGGCGAATGGATGTTGTGATGGTAGCCCTGCATGTGCGAGTTCTGTTGTACTTGGTGAGGATGCTGCAGTGATGATAAATAACTATAACTATCCGGCACTGAAAACAAACAAAAAAAAAACAATAAGTACAAGTCAAAATCACCAAAAACTTAATTTACTCAGTTTCTATCATCAATTACATTCATCAAATAAACGAATACTTAATAGTCTTACACAACAAAAAGGAACAAGCAATAATAAAACAGTTTAGTTTTTTCTACCATTCTTTTCTTGCACAGACATTTTTTTCACAATTCCGCGAGTTGCGACACTTCAACGCTTAATTAATTGACCAATTGCGAAACGCTGCTCGAAACATTTGCATATCAGAATGAATGCTGTAGGAATCATTTAAAAAGTGTATTATTTTCACTTATTAATTAAAAATCAATCAGTTTAAAATGTGACAATCACGGTTTGTGAGGACAATGAAGTGGTTTTTCAATAGTTTGACCCAATTCCGTGCCGCTTCCTACATTACTCTGTTACGCACACCGCGCGTTATATTTTTTTCTCTCGAAATTGCACGTCCCAAATTCCGATTTATCTCGTTCTCTCAGTGCTTATCTTCTAGATGAGAGCGAACTTTATGTCGAAAACACTACAATAATTTGCCAAGTTCAACTACAAAATCTGTTACAAACAAACAAGGTAATGTATGTGGAAGAGAATTGGTGTCGATGCAAATATTTATATATATATATAGATATAAGTCGGTCTGCAGATAGTAAAAGTACACGACATTATTCCTAGCTGATAATGGAAATCGTATTATATACATGTTGTATTTATATAAATACATTTTATTTTTCCGCGGAGTTACGCAACGCGATAAAAGTCGCGACTGCGTTATTTATTTATTTATAAGAAGGAGAAGGAATAACAAACAGCTAAATACATTTGCATTAGAGACGATTTGTTGCTACCCGAAAAAAAAATTTATATCTGACTCCGTTTTATCCCCAAGGACCCGAGAAATCTGTTTCTCTCTCTGTTGCTCTCACTATCTGCGTGTATATGTGTCCACGTAATGCGAATGCACGAGAGATAAAGAAAAAAGGAATCGTAATGTGCAGTGCGATAAAAAAAGCGAAAAAAAAATAATTTAACGCACACACATTCACGAAACTTATCAGGTGGATGGGTATACAGAAGATAAAAAGTGGGTCAGAGAGCGGGTGGAAGGTCACTTAATACGTGCATACGACAAGGAGGAGAAGAAGTTTATAAGGAAGGATGTGCAAGAGTGAGAGGAAGATGGGGTTAGTCGTGTACGCAGAAATACCTGCACTCGCACATAATACAGGTAGAACTTTAGAGGGAGGGTGAAAATGCCGGAAGAAACTTGTGAGGGGTCCGCTTGAGTGCAGGTAGCAGCAACCACACGAAACTCCCTTCACGCACAACACACAAAAAAAATAAATAAATTAAGGATTGAAGGAGAAAAAAAAAATAATATTGTGTATACACAGATAATGGAGAAGGCAATGACGTGAAAGGAGAGAAGTATTTATGAGATAATCGTAGGGGTATTATTATTATTATTATAATATATAATCAGTAAAGAAAACAACCCGAAAATATGACGGGATTGAGAAATTCTTCAATTGAAAATATATGGTTAATTAGTACAAAAAGTAATAGCTTTGCGCTCGAGGATTAATCGCATCGTTTAATGGGTTTACGCTCACGATAAGACCCAGAACTGATACCCGAGGCTCCGGTTAAAAATACAAATAAAATTTTTGATTTATCCAAGCGCCGCCACCGCGATACGAAATTATTTAACTTCGCATACTTATTTTGTTTTTCTCAGCGATTCATTCATCATATTTATTCATTTTATTGTAATAAAATTGGCAAAAAAAGCATAAATAAACAATTGTATTACTTGTCAAGTAATAAGAGTATTCAACTGCTCTGATGTTTCATAACAAAATGTATTTTGTATTTTTATATTCAAGTCTGTTTCGGGTCTCGTTTTTTGTTAATATTTCCTCCGTTCATGATTAATTAGCATACAGCGCGAATGCGAACCGAGTTTGCGGTCAAGGATTTATTTGCAATCGTTCAGATGGAGTAACAATAACGAATATCGAAGAAACGTACGTACGTACGACACACACGGAGCGAGAGGAAAGGAACAATGCAGAAAATAATCGAAAAGAAACCTAGTGTTTGTGTGTGTTTCCCTGGTGGTGAGAGTACACACATAACGCAAAAAGGATAGAAAGCTAAGCTGCAGATGCATGCAAAGACGCATTAACAATGCAATAACGCATTTCCCTTTGGTTTTCGTTCATTAAGCGAACGCGAATAATTAACAAATCCATTACACATATCCTTGAGGCGACCAGTTTTCATTCAACGTTAATATTTCGTGGACATGTAATCAAATTACGTAAATATTTTTTGCGTCGCGTTCAATTTATAAATCGATTGTTTCGATGGAATCCGACGAGTTTGTTTTGACGCCCCGAAAAAAAAATTATATATATACATGTAATGTAACAACTCTTTGTTTCGAAATCGAGGAAGACACAGAAGACGCTCGTTTCCGGCCAAACTCTACTTCGAATGACTTGTTTTTCTTTTTAAATTTATTTATTGACTTGTAGCATTGTTCAAATTCTTGCTTTTGTTGCATTCTTAATCTTTTTGGCTTTCAATTTGTTGTTTGTTGCATCAAAACAAAAAAAAAAACATTCTTTTCGACTTTCGTTCAAGGATTTTTGATTAATTAATAAATTAGTGATTAGTTTTTTTTTTATATAATTAGATTTTCTTGTGTTAAATGCAATAAGTTTGAATATGGAATTGATGTTTGTATTAAAGTGGTATTAAATGGAAATATGTTTGAGTTTAGCTGCTGATACAGTCATAGGCGTGCTTAAAAGGCTAATAATAATTATTTTTTTGGGTAAATAACAAGATTGGTTAGTGGAATTGCTGTTGGTGAGGTGGTATTAAATGGGAAAATGTCTGTAAGAGCACCATTTTTCACAAGTAATTTCATTGTCGCCGGTATAAAATGTACAATTTGGTAATTGGATGCGTCTGCTCATCGTGTCGTTTCTTTTTTTTTCGCTTGTTCTTTCGTTGGTTGCGACTCGGTGGATAGGTTGGATTGAAGCAGTGCGAGAAGGAAGAGGCGAAGAAGGAGTGTCGTAATTTTAGTGGCCAGTGTCTGGCGACGAGGGGGAGTAGTCGGGATATGCAATGTAGAGAACATTGACCAGGAAATGAGAGTGACGCGCTAACCTTCAACCGCTCATGTCCTTGCAACGCGAAAATAGATGCAAACACAAACGCATCCACTGTACGTACATACAACTTTGATGATGATGATGATGTTGTGTGAGTGTTTGTATGTATGTATATATAATCCGTACAATTTCACTGCCAGGATGCAATTATAGAGAGACAACTGGCCGTAATATAAACAATGTCATTAGACTTAATGTCATTATTCGCAATTAGAGATGATTGCGTCGGATTCGAGAGATGTCGCGCTTGTTTCCGCGCCCCGAAATGTCATTGGCAGCGGAGGTCGTCGGAATTTGGAGTGGGCCTCCTCCGATACCTGAGGATGCCAAAGTCATGGGTCCATTGGCCCCTTTTTTCAGCCACCCTCTCCTGATATTACCACCAATTTGCCTACGACGAGGAAGACCCCAAGAGCTGAAAAGCACTTCCGGCGTTTGCGTCGTCTTCATGGTCGTAGTCGTCCTCCTCCTCTTTAGAGGTACAAGTGCAAGATCTGCGAAGGCCACGGGCGCATGTGCAGATCTCTATAATTATATCACTGCTGTTGCGAGCTGCTGCTGCTGCTGCAAGCACAAGTGCATATACGAACCGATGATCCGCGTTTTTGCGGGGTGTTGGAGGGCGCGACGGGGGTTCCCCGGGCTCCGGCATTGGGGTGACCGCCCGACCCCAAGGTCCGTCCCGGCTCAGTGGCGTGCGACTCCTTCTACTCTCGCATCCACGCGTAGACCTCCTCTTTTCCTATACTATATACTATACCCACCACCAACCAACCAACCGAGCCAAGAGGAGAGACCAAACCAAGAACCGAAACTGGGATTCGATGTAATCAGGTTATCGGGTCTTACGCAATTACGCTGCACGTCTGCAGCCTTCCCATTCTCGACCTCCGCCAATATCATAATAATTCGATGAAAAACGAAAAGTGGCATCATCCATATTTCGATTTAGATGTAAATTGGTGGATGAAACCTCGAGCTTCTCATCCGCCTCCTCTCTCGCAAATCCTGCGGAGCTTAAGATAGAAAAAGAGAGAAGAAAGAGGCAGGAATGAATAGGAAGGAGGAGGAAGAACGAGGATGAAAGATGCATGCATGTGTGTGTATATAGTGGGCACACGCGAGTGTTGGTGTCGGAAATGCATATGCACACAGGAATGGCGGCTGTCTAGCGCGACGACGGCGGTCACTGGTTCATCGACTTTGCGACTTTCCACGAGCTGAAGGTCACCGTAATGAGCCCGCACTCTCCGTTTCTTTCGTGAAGACCATAGAGAAGAGAGGAGAGGAGAAAAGAGAAGAGACGTGGAAGAGAGGAGCGAGCCCAAACCGCCATCAATCCTTCCCCAACAAGAAACAAACGCAACAGAAACAGCAACCACCAACACCGACGACAACAATAACCGCAAACGGCACAGAACAAACGATCAAAAAGAGGAAACGAATAAACGATAAAAGAATTCCTCCGCACCGGAAATATAATCCAATCACGCTAATCTCCGCATGCAAATGATGCAGCAAACCTCCAATCCGAAAGCAATCAATGACAAATAGTTTCTACTATTCTTAAAAGACAATTTAGATAAATTCCAACATCAACTTGAGAATACCATCAAATATTGAAGTTACTAGATCAGTGGTACAATTAATCTTTATATACTAACGATTTGATCTAGCAACTTAGCACATTTAACAATGCGTCCATCTACAAACGTTTCTTGTTTACTGATGATACTTTAGCGCATTTCCAGCAAATTTATACTTAGGTATTATAATCAAAATTGAATAATGACTAATAATTCCAAATTCGTTTTCCTGTTTAATCAAAGAAATCAAATAATAACAGAAGATTTCGGTATTGCGACTTTGAATTCATAAAATCTGTATGTTTAGAGTGATGGAATTTGGCTGACAGAGGTTATGAGAACGCACGGTTCTCGCAGGAATTCGCGAAATAATGCGCGCAGGATTGCGACGACGGTGATGATGATGATGATGCCGCTATTATTAGACCGGGCGCGAATCGAACGTTGTCGGGTGAAAAAAAAAATATAAGAGAAATAAAGTAAAGAAGCGATCATGATCATCGTTTATTTGGTTTCGGAAATAAGCGTTGCACGCCCGTGAAACCAAACACCCAAGGCAAATGGCGGAAGCAATAAAACCAAACAGAAGAAAAAAAAGAGAGGAAGGAAGGAAGAAATTATGCAATCCGGAGAAGAACGTTTTTCATTTCATAAAACATTGATACGTTCGTTTCGAACAAACAGTGAAACGATTAATTATCTAATTAGTCTATTTATAAACGCAAGATTCACTTTTTTTTTTATATAAACATATATTTTGCTTACGCACAAGTTGTCTCCCATCAGCGTTTTAAATAATCGTCACGTACGTGCGACTTTATCTCACCTTCTTTCGTAATTCGCGTTATTTTTTCGGTCATTTTAACAAAGCAGATTTACTAGCGAAAAACGCAGTTTGTTGTTAAATGTTGACGTTAAAGAAAAGAAAAATACGTACGTATTCACAATTTGCGTTGAATTTTTACGAATCTCCGACGAAATCTAAATTAATTCGTTTTTGACCTGATTCAGTGAGACGTAATTAATAATATAGAGAAACAACGTTTCTTGTTCTTCCCGAAATTGGGTCATCATCGCCGTTGCTCAACAAACTATAAGAAAGAATTCGGATGAAACAACAACAAGAAAATTCGTCATTCAAGAAAAATTTCCGCAATTAAAAGATTTCTCAAAGTCATCTTGCAATTGAAACAATTGTAATTATGTAATAAGAATTTGAAAAGATTAAGCTGCAAAGTGCACGAAACCTTGTTAATCCTTAATTACTACACCTTATCATACGTTCGATATCTTAATGCTAGCCTATCTCAACATCGAACGCGTTTCGTAGTTTGCAATTGTGTGAGCGCATTATTACATTTTATATGTAATAATTGTTGTTCATAAAACGATGATTCGTGTTTTTTTTTTTAAATTTCGTGTGGTTTTAGATAGATAAAGTTGCAATCAATATTCATTTCAACCAATTTCAATAATCGAATTGCGACGCAATTTTTTTTTTGGCACACGCAACTGTTCACAATTTAGGGCAGGTCGTGAAGTGCAAAAAATAAAATACGCCAACCTTAAAATAAGCGATGACATAAATATCTGTATGTTACATACACGAATTATAAATATATATATATTATTTTTTTTCTCTCTGCTATAATATATTATTGCTTGCTTTATCTTTATCTCGTATTTCAGTGTAAACTGCAATCTAAGTCCGGAAGATAATTCGAACCCAGGGTTTATCGTCTCGAATGTTGAAGTACATCAGTGTTTTCGTGCAAATTAATGATGTAGGTTGAGAGAGAGAGAAGAGAGAAAAGCAGATTATTGCTCAATATTTATTCGGCTACTTTACATACGGGCTTATTTTTGTATGTGTGTGTGTATAGCTTACATTATGCGTTATGGTTACGTAAGCCACGACCTCGGACAATGTCACTGGGCAGGCCAGGCCGGCCGCCAGACGGAAATAGATAACTCTAAAGTGAGTGAGAGCCGCAATCCACTTTCGGTTTCTATGCAGGAGGAGCGCAGCGCTTTCGACGAGATTTTTGGCCAGGAAAAAGGAAAACGAAAATATTCCTGAAAATTGATACATACACATACACACACGTATACATACATAATATGTACATACACACACACACAAAAGAAGCAGCGAGCGTCCAGCTTTTTATAGATTCCCCCTATGTTTATGCATCCGCGACGCCTATAAATATAACCTTCGGATATCGCCATTGGTTGGATCCGATAAAAAGAATCGCTCGGATCCCACCTATTTCGGCGTGAGATAGGTCAAAACAAAAAAAAATGAATTATAAAACTGTAGCGTTTCCACGGATCCTTTAGCCCTTCCGTTTCCTTTTTCAAGTTCATTTTCCTTCTGGTCGCTGCATAGTTTCTTGAATGAAACGAGCGCGTCGACCGGGAAAACTGGTAATCTCATACGCTACGATAGAGAGAGCGAGAGTCTCTACCTAGACCAAAGCGACCAGCAGCAGCAGCATTACTGACCTATCCTAGACAAATCACGAAGCTTAACTGTTGTTGTTCACTTCTCCTTAACTGTTCGGATTCCGTCACGCTCCTCCGCGGAAACCAAAACAACCTCATCCTCTATGCTTTTCCTCTTGCAAATACACAGCGTTTCGTCCTTACTTTCCCCATTTTTAATTACCCAAATTGCTTTTCTTTACCCGACAATTACTTAATCCTCGCATTCAGAAACTAATTACACTTTTTTTTGTCAATAACTAAATTTGTTTTTTTTAGATTATCAAATATTGTTTTGCAGGAAAGTGCAAAACAAACTAATCGAAATTTGTTTCTATTAAAGAATACAATTTGGTGACGCAATTAAATAAACGGAAACGATTAAAAATATCTCTATATCTGTCTAAAAATTTCGATTACACTGATAATTCAAAGAAATTACAACCTCATCCTCTATGGTTTTCCTCTTGCAAATCCCGCAAATACACAGAGTTTCGTCCATTTCTAATTACCCAAATTGCTTTTCTTTTTCCTACAATTACTTAATCTTCGCATTCAGAAACTAATTACACTTTTTTATCAATAACTAAATTTGTTTTTTTAGATTATCAAATATTGTTTTTGCAGGAAAGTGCAAAACAAACTAATCGAAACTTGTTTCTATTAAAGAATACAATTTGGTGACGCAATTAAATAAACGGAAACGATTAAAATATCTCTATATCTCTAAAAATT